AGCGGCCAGATTTCGGCTAAATTATTCTTGGCAGGACAAAACTTTTGTGAGGCACCTCCGTAATGTGTCTAGTTTAGCCGCGTGTAACCGCTGCCCGCCTCCGCCAGTGTTATTGGAATGGGGATTACACTGCGTATTTTAGATATGCTTGGATTGTTTTTTTTGATGTTTTTACTAGACGTTGGCAGATATAATTTGTCCACTGTTTCTTTGAAATTGTATTTTGATTTGGGGCCTGGGTGTTATTTATACAATCACGACGCCAGAATAAAGGCAAGCTTAGATTTGTAGTCGCACGATTGTGCATTGTGAAATACTTGATGTACTAGATTACGCATGACTATATTACTGTGATCAAAAGCAAGGGGGATAAGGGAAATAGTAAATAAATGCAACATCCACTCTATGCCGTTCATCCTTCACTTCACTCCCTATCCACGTGATCCTTCTAAACAAGCACCGCAGCCAGACCCATCGCACCCGCAGCAGCCAAACCCGCACCGTGCAGCAATCCTCCCGCCGCAGCACCCGTATACGTTGCCATGGGCGAACCCGACGAGGTAGTAGTCGTAGCAGTAGCGCTCGCAGGCGTCGGCGTCGCCAACGGCATCAGCGTCTTCAGCAACTCAGGCGTAGTCGTATACGTCATGAGGTCCCCCACAAAAGCCAGCGAGTTACTCGGAAACGGGAGTTCAGATACAGCCGTTGCACTGGGGAAAGCCACACGCTGGGATGCCGGGACGTCGGGCTCGAGCGAAGCCCGGTCAAAGGGGGCAAGTGGGTTCAGAACACTGAGAGTTGGGGGGTGGTTATGTTAGCATTGCACACAGCTCTCTAAGGGGGAGAGGGGGAGGACTAACCCGTCAATCACGTGCGCAACACCATTGTACAGAATGGTATTCACAAACACAATCTTCGCGCCGTTGACAAACGCGGAGCCGTCGTCCAACACGGTAAATACCAGATCGGCACCTGCCATGCTCTTAACCGTCACATTTCCCAGGCTGGGCGAGAAAATCACGTTATCGGGGATGATGTGGTGTTGAAGGACTGTCTGGAGCGTCTGTTGGTCCGCCGACTCGAGCACCGAGCCAATGGCTTCAAAGGCGGCGTTTGTAGGCACGAAAATGGTAAAGTCGGAGATGTTGAGGCCGACCTGGTTGGGCCCGCTGAGACCAAAGTCAATGGCGAGTTTGGCCGCTTCGAGCGCGCCGTTCATGGCCGTGTAGCCTGCGCGGTACGTGAAGAGCTGGAAGGGGGCGCCAAACGAGAGCACCGTGTCGATCTTGTGGATGGTGATGCCGTCGCCGAGCTTGATGTCCTGGACACATGGGTTAGTTGTGTGTTAGTAATTATGGGTTGTGAATGGAGACTTGCTGCTTGAATGACGTTGGAAATGGTCTGCTCGCCAGATAAAACGCACACGTCGTCGCCGTTCTTGACAAGCCCATTGTAGGCGCCGCCGGTGAAGTCGGAAAATGGCTGGATGGCATTGACATAGGAGCCGTTCAGCAGCGTCTGTGCAAAGGTCGGAATATCGGTAATGACTTCAGCGGGATACACGCCCTTGAAGACGTGGTTGGCGAGCAGTGCACCAATGGCCGCAGTGTCGTTTTTGTACTCGATTGCCTCGCCCTCGGGGATGTCGCGGGGCACTGCGGCAAAGGCCTCGTTAGTAGGCGCGAATATGGTGATGTTGGAGGCGGCAGAGAGGGTGTCTGCGAGACCGTCGATGAGGCCTACAAGCTCAAGCAGTGTACTGAGGTCGGCCTGAGAACTAAGCAATGCGCCGAGATCGCCTTGAGTAAGACTGGTGCCGGCCATTAGGGCACAGGCCCACAGCTGGAATGGACGCATGGCTAGAAGAATACGGGGTAGTTGCAGCGGGAAGATGTGGAGAAACAGCGATGGCTCGTAGGAGTAGTGGGGAGAGGAGAAGACTTGGTGTTGATGATGCTATACAGACTTGTTGTCGACGATTCTCATCCTCCTTTATACACTTCTCTCCTAGCATACATCAACGCAACAGCAACATACTGTACTGTACTTGGGCCGGCTCAAGCATTGCCTGGTGCTGACACCATGACATCTTCGACTCTGTAGCCAAGACGCAGATGTTGCTACCCGAGTGTGCAGGATGAGGCGCAGCAGTCTGGTTGCTGCAAGGCCCATAGCTAGTTGTGGAAGTTGGTGATCCTCGATGCAGAGTTGAGGCTGCAATGCTTCTCGCGAAGACGATTGTGTACCTAGCTCTGCACCTGCGCCCGTGGTCGTATACAAGGCGGCAGATAAGTGGGCGGCGCTTGCCGAGGCCTCCACCCGCATGCATCGTGCACCGGCGAGAATCTGCCGGGGGTCTAGTCACGGCGAAAACTCCCCACGACAAGGTGGCTGGATTAGCGGATGCCATGCTCTCGGGTATGCATGCATACACGTTGTCATGTGGCAGTACGCTTGTCTGATCTTGAGGCTGTTGTGTTGTGACGAGGCGATCGAGCAGGTGAAGTCGATGTTCATCAGCACACTGCTCTTCCTTGAGTCCAGTCTGCATTGATTTAATATATATATCAAAACTAGCAGCTAAGTGGATATAGCAATATATGCCGCGCTGTTGCTGTTACTGTGTACTTGGACTTTTCTGCTCATTCCCAGAGCGTAACCTCATCCAGCATCTGTACCTCTCTTTGACATTATGTTCCAACCCATCTTACAGCCCATCTTACACCTGCATCCCCTGAGGTTTGTGACCTCGTCTTCGAGTCTCCAGGCACATCGAATCCCAGAATGTAAGCGTTTCAGTGTGGGTGACGTACGGGAACTTGGCAGTGAGGCAGACGGCTGATTTTCGCCGCGCCGGCCTAGTTCCCAACGGCACGCTATGCAGACCCACATCCGGCCCACCAATCAGATCAGCGTCGGCGAAAAACCACCGTGATGGACAACGCCATGATATAAAGTCGCGTTATGGGCGACTATGGAATCGCTAGGCTCGCCTCGTATCTTTGCAAAATCGCCTTGTAGTCGTTGTACCACTCCTCCAGCCACCCCGTCGCATCAAACAGGCGCGTTGTGTAGCAGCTCAGCGTCGGATCCAGCACCTTCATGTATGCCACCAGGTTGCGCAGCTTCTCGCCGCACTCGTCGATGCGGAAGCAGTCCTTGGGTAAACACTGGCCGTACGTGTTTTCCGGGTCGTTGGCAGCCACCAGAGTGGTGACCAGGACGAAAAGAGCATGCAGGACGGTTGGGGAAAAGCAAAACGAGGGCAGGCCAACGACAATGGCAGGATCCATGTCGGCAACCGTTCCAATGACCCCATGGCAGTTTTGCACCAGACTGTGGAGGGTTTCCTTGAGCGGCGAGATGATGACAGCGGGCTTTGGGTAGTCCTTGACTGGGATGCGCCCGGGGATATATGGCGCGGCAAACGACGCCTTATTGGTGGGCGTGTGCAGTACAAGTTCGTACAGGTGCACCATGGCCACGTGCCACCATACCCTGAGCGTCTGGCACGACGCCAGGCTGGCCGGGACCTGGGCTGCCCATGCGTCGAGCTTGAGCTTGAGGTTCTCAATGACAGCGTAGACGTTGTAGTCGTTGCCATCGACAAACGTGGCAATCTGGCAGAGACACAGCTGGTTGGCGATTTCATGGTCCAGCCGGGTGATGCGCACAATTTGGCCAAAGAGCACGTCGGCCGCGTCCCCGTTGCTCTCGAGGTAGGCAACGCATTCGTCCAGATACGAGTCCCACGGCACGGGGCTGGGCCTGCGCGTCGTCAGAGACGCGGCCGTCGTGGCCACATAGCAGGCTAGCCAGGTCCGCCGCGCCTCGAGTGATGCCGTGTCCTGGTGTCGGCAAAAGAAGGCCGGGGGCGTGGGCTGCAGAGAGCCCCCTGCGATGCCCAGGTCGATGGCCATGTCGGAGGCTAGTTGCAGAATCTGATAGCAGCTCCCTTGCCGCCCCGTGTGCGTACTCTTTGTCCAGAAGCTGGGGAAAAGCAGTGCCTGCACCACTTCTAGCGATCTCTGCCCTCTGCCAATGACCTCGTCGCCAAGCAGGCGCATGCCTTCGCGGACGAGCTCATCGTGCACCTCGGCGTCCACCCCCAGGGCTTCTTGGGTGAGGGGAAACACGAGCAGCGCCAGCAGGAGAAGGGGGGATTTGGCGCGGTAGTAGTCGAGGTCCCCGACAACGCGGATGGCGGGCCAGGCGGTCTCTGCCTGGAGCGCATAGTGGTGGATCAGCTGCTGCTGCTTGAAGGGCGGGATGCGGGCGTCCAGGAAGGACAGGATGGCGTCGGGGGGGCTGTCAAGCTGGCTGGCTGGCGATCGACTTAGCGTCGACAGGCTACCGGGCGAGCAGCTCGTCGGCGGAGTGCACGTCTTGTTCTGATTAGACTGGGCCTGCAGCGCATTCTTGAGTTCTTCGATCTGAGCCTCGAGCTCGCTGATGCGGTCGCGTTGGAGGCGTGGCGCGGCCGGCACGCACTCGAGGTTGTTGCGATGGCACCGCTCGCAGACGCCAGGGCTTGGGGACGTGGTTACGTCGCATTTGATCTTGAGGCGGTGGCACTCTTCACACGCGCGATAGCGTTTCCTCATCGTGCTATCCCTGGCCCGAAAAGAAAACAACGGTAGCGGTTTGGGCTTCAATTGCAGGGCCGTCCAGAGTCTATGACACCATCATCTGCGCGCGGCAGCCAGACGCGCTCGATTCTTGGAACCCTGTGGCGGTGCTGTGTGGCGTCGGCCCGTCGCAACCGTTAACGCCGTTAGGACCGCACCGCCACAGGCAACTGGACAACCATCCATGCGAATTCATGTTATTGATCTGGTCAAACTATTCAAGAGTACATGATGTTTTTTATATCTTGAATTGCTCAAGGTGACGTGTGCTACCTGAGATTTCGATCTGCTTTCCAAGGCCCTAGCAGGTTCAAGCTCCGTCTTACATGCTGCTGCGTGACCGAGCAATCCGATTTGCTGATATTTGTGTAATAAATGCACTTATGGAGATGGCCAAGTTTAGACTATATTACTAGCGTATTCGCATACTCTCTCACGAAACACACTGTTGTTGAGCGCAGGTACAGGATTCATTGACAAAACGCGTCGTTGATTATTGCCAAGCTTGTTTTCCCGGTACAAGTGGTTTAGGTGCAGGAGGCGTATGACGTGTGCTAATCAGACATGACACTCAAAGTGCACCCGTGGCCGTTTTCTACGCATACGTAATACTGCATATGATCAGCATTTTGCTCCAATACAAAAACGCGTTGAATCGACTTACACTGGGCTGGGAAGTGCCCCCGGCATTAGAGACACATTACCCGCCATATAAATCCGTCAGGCATGTCTAGTCATGTCATCACCATTTTCGGAAGAGACTAAGGCGGTATGTACAAGGGGATGTTTTTGGAGTAGAGAAGGAACGAATAATGAGCAGGAAAAAGGGAATAGTTTGATATCTTATACATGGTTAAGACCAGTGAGTATAAGGCCGCATGATCCACGGCAGAGCCTGTAAGGTACAAGTTTGAACGGCGTGTCATCAGAACGATTGTTGTACGATGATTCCGGTCGAAGTGAAATTATTGGCGCTTTACCATGATTAAGCCGTCTTATCCTCATAGTACGAAGACAACAGTTTTCCCTCTAGGATTAAAAACGTGCTAGCTCTTGTGGGACACATATTGATAACGAGCTCTTTCTGGTGTTTAAGACTAAAATACATTTTGATCAGCGAAAACATGCTATAGGGTATAAATAGAGGACCAAAGTAAATTAGAACACAAATCAATACATGGTATTGGAGACAGGTCTGGTAAACTGTTATATCAAGATACTTTGCTACAACATAGGCTTGTTTGTGTGGGAAACAGCTTCAGAGAGCAGCTTTCGGCGCATGATTGTAGGAAACCTACTTGCATAGTATTGGGTATTCAGTACGCAGCATTTCATGCAACTGGGACACGATGTAGACGCAGGAGTAGAAAGTGCGCGATAAAGCATTCCAGGTGGCTTCTGATGGAGGATGAGTTATCAGGGAAGAACACGTGTGCCATTTTGATTCTGCTGGAGGGGGTCATAGTACTGGCTTCTCTGGGTACAGAATATGCTATAAGCAGGGCGTAATAGCCAATGAGGGAGAAGAACGATGCTGCAAGGTTCAGGGACGTGTTTAGCCTGGTGGGGTGACATGATATTGCAGATTATCCTCCTTCATCACAACGTAAATACTAGTACCCAGTGAGGGCTTTCTATACGAAGATGAATTAGCGAGTATTAATCTATAATTAAATAAGGTACCACTAACAGAAAATTCTATGTTCGCACACACGTCCGGATGACTATCAAGGTAGTAGACCAAGCACCTATCTCACAAATGCAAGTCAACAACGCGATACCCAAATGGGCGGCAGAATGCGAGACATGGCATATCTCGCGACCGCGGCGTGGGGTCGACCTCCACCACACAGATATTCCTCCCGACACAAAGACGAGCCAAACTCGCAGTTCTCTTTCTTCCGCCAGTCTCTACACATGCCTCATTGCAAGAAACTCGTCTCTGCCACAACCCTACACATAGACGAGTTACACAACCGCCCCTCTTCCCATCCAAGCTCCACCCCCACACTTGCCAGGCGGAGCTTGTTCCAAACAAGCAACGCGGCCAACCCAGCCCCGCCTACCCGGAAATCCGCTCCCATCCACCCATCACCAACCAAAACGCCAGGGCTGCGGCATTCCTCTGCTCACGCCCGTCTGGGCTGACGCAACAGCTCATGCCATGGCATGCCAGCAGCTGATGTCCCGGTTTCCCTCAAACACCACCTCGTTACACTGCCACTGCCACTGGTACCCCCACCACCACCACCACAATGAAGCTCAAGGCCTCGCTTCTCGTCCGCCTCCCAGGCATACGCTGGAGCCCACACGACATTGATTCTTCCGAGCCATCCTCGTCAGCCTCGCCGTCAAAACCCAAGCCGCGCATCCCGTTCTCGCTCCGGTCCTCCGCGCCCGACACTGCCATTCTGCGCCCCCGCAAATCCTCGCTGAAACCATCGTCGGCCGCTGAACCCAATGTACGCATTGATGCGCGCACGCGTGCACAGAACCAGGCGCTGTTCTTCGCTCGCCTGCCGCTCGAGCTGCGGCACATGGTGTACGAGTATGTCATGGGTGGGGAGGTGCTGCACTTGACGCTGAGCACGAAGCGCCGATTTGGACATTGCATCTGCGACGAGGGCCGCGAGGACGAGGAACACAATGGAAATAGTAATCATAATCCTAATAGTAGCAGTGGTGCTACGAACAACAGCAAGCAATGCGCGTGCCGGGTCCTTGTTGGCGGGAGAAAAGATGCACGACGCCTTGATGGCGGGGGCGTCAGTCTCGCCCGCACATGCAGGAGAATGTAGGCAACTATCCGTACATGTCTTTCTGAATGGGACTAACGAGTTCTCTGAAAAGGTATGCAGAAGCCCTGCCGTATCTCTATCGCGCGCATGCGTTTTCCCTCTTACATATCACGCATCTCCTCTATCTGCCGTCGTCTGTCCCGCAGCTCCACCTCAACGTCATCCGCGTGCTGCGTCTGCGCTGGGCCATCCGCGCGCTGCCGTACTTGCGCCGCGGCCCCTCCAACCGCGTCGCATACCGTGAAGACACGGGGAATTGGGAGCGCGCGTGGGGCATCATGGCGGGCATGCAGGGGCTACGAGAACTGTACGTTGTGCTGGTTGATCCGAGTCCGCAGCAGCTGTGGGAGCGGAACTGGCTCGAGCTAGAGGATATATTGCTCGAGAGTGTGAGGGGCGTCACCAGACCGAGGGACGCCGTGGTCGTAATGCCGTATCAGAGCTGTGGCGTGGACTGGGATATGCGTGGCAGTCCTGTGGTGCTTAAGAGGCCCGAAGATGGGGATATCGAGACAGAAGATGAAGAATAAACATGTCCATGTTCCAAATTTAATGGCACGTACTCCATCTAAGCAGCATTTCCTAGCACTGTGGTCCAATTTCAAACTAACAAATGCTCACAGCATAATGGAGAGTTTATGGTTCATCAATCATGTCATTCAACAGTGTTATCTACTATCTACATCACTGTCACATTATCCCTCTTTATTTTACACACACAACCCACTTACAAGCCAAAGCAATTGGCATAGTACGTAACGGTAGCAGGCCAGTCGGTAAACATGGCGCGGATCTTGACGTCCTGGGCCAGAACATGCAGAACCTTGTACATGTCGCCGTCGTGGCTAGTAACATTGGCCACATACTGGTAGTAGTAGCCGCCACCACCAATCTGCAGCCAGCCCGAGCGCTCAAACGACCACGCAACCATGTCGAGGCCGTGTTCCTGGCACGCAATGGCATACTCGGAGGGCACAATCTTGCCGTTGTCGTCGAGCTTGGTAAGCGCAAACATGGCGGGCGCCATGACCTTGACGCCGCGGGCAGCCAGCCCCGGGATGCTAGCCGTAGCATTGGCGTAGCCAGCGGGCGTATCGACGCGCTCGTCGAGGTACACGGCCTGGACGCCAAACTCGGGCTCGTTGTCGATCCAGTAGAAGACGTCGTCCGGCAGGAAAGACTGCAGCCACACACGGCTGGGATCGATCTTGTACTCGCGGAACTTGTCAACGAGATCCTGGGCGTACTGCTCCTGTGTGTAGCCATCAAACGGCATCGGCACTTCTGGCGTCTTGAGCTCCGGCGTGAACTGCAGACCCCAGCTGTCGACCAGCGGAATGTAGTCGTCGACCGTCATGAGCTTGGGGCAGTGCTGGGCGTACAGATCTGTGCGGAAGTACGGTGTTCCGTCCATGTACTGTTGGACTGTGGTTGCGTTGGGGTTGAAGCCATCCATCTTGCCGCATAGAGTGCGAAACTCGTCGAGTGTAATGTCCGAGGTGCAGCATTTTGCCGACGCAGCGGTGCCGTTGGCGGCGGGGGAAAAAGGCGTGGTACATTTTGCGGCGAGCGTCGTGTTGAGGATGTTGGTCGTCGTGTGCAAGTCGCACTGGGCGTGGCGGCACACGAGCTGCTTGTCCTTGGTAAAGGCAACGTCGCACTCGATGACGCCGGCACCCATGCGATGCGCAGCCTTGTAGCTTGACAGCGTGTGCTCTGGGAATTCCAGCGGCGCCCCGCGATGGGCAAAGACAAAGTCGGACGTCTTGAATTCCTGTTCCGAGCAACTTTCCAGCTTCTGCTTCAGCGGGCCCTCGTCCATGTCGTCGACCAGGTAGTACGGCCGAGGCCCGACTTGGACATTGAACTTTTTCTCAGGAACATGGCTGTGGTTTCCCGGTCCACTGCGCGACACGACTATGGGCACGGCGGCAGCAGACGCAAGGCCGAGAAAGACGGAGGTAGCAACGAAAGAGCGCATGGTGAGCGATTGTCGACCCAGAGAGAAGGGATCCGGGAACCGGGAAAAACGAAAGGGTTCCTGCAGGGCAGGCATTGGAACGGCCGGCCATGCTGCTTCTTATCTGCATGCTGGGCAGAAGCAACAGATACACGACGGCGACGAGGCATGCGGCTGGAGCTATTCGACCTGAGCTTCATAGCTACTGCACGTGGGGAGCTATCCCGGCCCGCAGCTCTTGGTGTCATTGGGACGTGGGCGGAGAAGGCCATGATTGGGGAAAGCCATGCAGAGACGGGGCTAGCGTGCCAAGCCGCCAAGCACATGGACGGCCTTCACGTTTCTTCGTCCTGCGATAAGATACGTGAGGGCATTCAACCGAGGCGCCAGGAAGGATTCGAGCGGGGATTTGGGCGCACGCTTTCCTCCATATGCGTCATCCTTTGCATTCCGTCTTGGCCGTTTCCTGCGTCTTTGGCCTTGGATTCCGGCCCTGTGGGAGAATTGTCGGCCTTTCGGCGGCTGTCAGATGCGTGTGGCTTGGCTGGCTGATGATGCCGGTATCCCCAACCACCCAAGTACCATATCGATCGTGGCATATATGATCGAAATCCTTCAGAAAGGAATGTAGACCAGCCACCTCCTCGCTACACTGCGGATTGAGTGGATAATCTTGGTCAATGTTCTTGTCCAAGTTACGTCCAAATCCATGGGTATTCTTGGTGAATGCACGCGTGTTGCCTCGGCGTCAGTCGGCGAGACATGACGCCAAGTTTTCTTTTGATACACCGAAGAGATTTCTGAAGCCATCGAGGTGCTGGAGATGCAGGAGTGTCCAAAGTCCAAGGACGCAGGTTCATCTATATGATCGTTGTTAATAGCAGCAAGAATACCGTATTCAAAATCCGACTCTTCTGGAGCCAGCCGCCGCTGTTGCTGCTACTACCCTGTCGTCTCTTGATACCAAAGTTGAATAATGCAGAATTTGCCCGTATGCTCAGATCATGGCTTCAAGAACTATCGTCGCTCGCTGCGGGCAACTCAAAAATGCAGTTGGACTGGCCGACATCAATGTCAGTCGAGCACCGCCAATCCGGAAGAACGACGATAAAGTCCTTTGGTGCGGTAACCGCCTTGACAGGTTCGAGCAATTCCTCGCTGTTTTGTTTCCAGAAATCGGCGTAGCACTGTTGCCAGAGATCTAGGAAGAAGTATAGTCGTATGTGTAGCTTTCGGAGACCGGCCATCCGACGTAGAACATCCCACGTCCTATACCACTCCTCACGGTGCGGTGAAGGCATGAGCGCTGCCTGGAAGAACTGGTGGCGGTCTAGGTCCCAGTCGATGCGAAGATTTGTAATCTGAGTCATTCGCTGGGGCTGAATGAAGTAGGGCAAGTACCCCGTGGTGGGATAGTCTTCTACATCCGTGGAAATGAAAAAGTCGTTGGAGTTGTACAGATATTCAATGGCCTCCGAGTAGCTGGTTGTTCATCGATTAGCCATGGTACTCTACCGCTATTGTAAGTCAAACTCATTCTCGGCTCTTCTGCACCCGCTGCTTCTGCCTTCTCATACCATTTCTGTGCCGGACCATGTTTTAGATAAAACGCTATTGTTGGATATGACTTACATGCGACGACATGTCCTCAGCAAAGGAAGTGCGATACAAAGTTTTTGTTCAGCTGCAAGCGGCCGGAGATAGCAAGCGCAGTGTCCAACTGTGCAACGCCGTGCACTCAGCTCGCCTTCGGCAAGCGAAATATGTATTGGTACCTCGCCCAGGGCTTTTTCGTAGATCATCCTTCTAATCTCCAAGGGCAATTTGCTCAGGAAGGGGGATTGCGCTTGATGAAACGTCCATTGTGACTGTTGGAAGTTTATCGATGGAAGTGTCAGAGCGCGTCTGCGAGGGCAAGGCAGCATTGGCTTTGGCGCCTCAAATGGTGCTCTTGGTGTTCGTCTGGGAATTCGGCGGTGCGGGAACAGCACGATGCAGCAAAAGCATGGTGATAGGATTGTCCAAAAAACATATTTGCAGAGTTGCCAGCCCGCTGTCTGCAAGCATCTGCCAGTCCCTTTTCCAATCTTTTTAAGCCGGTTGGAGAAACGCTCTCCGAACATATTCGCGTACGAACAAAAAGAAGGAAAAGGTTTTGATGCTGTAGCTAAGAACGAGATAAGCGTTGCGGGTCCGGTTGCTGTGCGAGGTTACGTCCGGTAATGTGGCCGCTGGTATGGGGCGACTTGGAAGTAGGATGAACGGTCAGTTGTCTAGCCCGGTAGTCTGGTTGCTGTTGTGGAAATTTAACAGCTTAACCTTTGTAAATGCGGAAGAGGTTGGGAGAAGAACACTTGCCGTTGGGAACCCATGTTGCGGCACGCCCCTGGGCCCCACTTAGTGAGACTCCAATGACGACGTCAGCCATACTCTCAGCCAGCCCTCCTGCTTATTTCGCTCCCATCGTCCCAAGAGTATTGGTATCATAATGGGCGCACGTCATATCCGCAATTTTCCATGCATGGAGCTTTGGGCCGGCTTTTAAGTCGCTCGGGCTTGTGGTGGCGCCTGTACTTGCGGAAAAGAAAACATACAAGATGACGACTGAGTATGCATGAAAGCAGCACTTCGTCATGATATACGCCACGTGCAGTTAGGACGCGTAAACCGAATACGCTCCTGCTTGCATTTCAACTCTTATAGTGTTCTACAAATTCATCGCTTGCACAGCTGTCATGAAAAGTCCATTATGGTTCCATGAAGTCGCGAGTCATCAGCTCGGCTACATGATTGATCGATTCAGAATATCAGCTGAGAATTGTACATGCAATCCCGGTCTGTTGAGTCGCAAGCTCAATGTTGAGACATGCATTCTCAGGTGAATTTTCTGGATCATCTTCTCTGGCACCTGACTCGGAACCAATATAATGCCGCTATGTATATGCGATAGGCGTTCCTTGGCGGACAATGCCGCTGCTGTTGCGCCTGCTCAAGTACCGTCCAACTAAAATTAAGCGATAGACTTATTTGACGGCTGCATCCCGCGCTTGTTAATGCACAACTGAATGCTGGATCTGCAGGTGGTGTCGAGCTGAATATCCTGAGTCAACCGTGCGTAAAAGGTCAAGTGAGTGACAGTGCTGCTTGGATGGATGGCGTTCAACGCATATGCATCACGTGATACTCGTAACTACTCCAGCCTCACTTCAGGGCCATCCGTCATCACCGCCACCACTAACTATCTTTACCCTTACTGTGGCTGCTGCTGAAACTCCGTATATCACATATGATAGATCTCCTATTGAAGCCTTGCTATAATTTCGGCGCGTGTTCACAACCCTAATTTATTTGCAGTCGCAAACCACACTGGAGGGCTCCATAAAGGGCCATGTCAATACCAAGTCTCTCGTCCTGCAGTAGGCTGATTGCGGAAATAGAGGCAGGTGTAATTCTGTTGTTGATATCCTCCAATCATTGTATCACAAGTCGCATGCGGGGTAATCTTCATGCTTTACTTTGTACGACACACATCATCATCATGAGCACTCGTACCCATCGCGCCCTGTTTCTCAGCATTCATCCCTTTTGACGTCAAATCCTTAATCAGGCAAACCAGAAACACAATGGCACGCATCACTGTCATTCCCGCGCTTCCAATGTTACCAAGCTCCCACAACACCTTGGAATGGAGCTTCTCTTCTGATCTGGAGTCAGAGATAACTACCCTCGCGGGCTGGTGTCAAGTCAAGCAGCAACAGAGGGCGCCTCTCTCTTTTACCGTGGATGGCAGTGAAGACAGTGTGGATAATTTGATCGGCGAGACAGAATGCACCAATCTCCTCGCTCCACTCTCCTTGGATGGCGACGCAGCAATTAAAAAAGACTTTCTCGATCGCCTTGCCGAGCTACTTTGCTACAAGAAAGACCCTTCATTGATCACCAGTACAGCGTTGCTTTATACTGAGACAGAAGCAACCATTGTGGCTGCTCGAAATTCAACGTCTGAGAGGAAAACTTGGTCTGACAAAGATATCAACCTTCTCAAATACTTGGTCGAAATCCTCGAGATAATCTCGGCTGATGGTTGGTATTACTATCAAAATCCTACCTGTATTGTCGGTGAAGCTGACCTTTTACATTTGTAGACAGTTTCGAGCACGACCCGCTTCAAGCACTGCAAAGTACTTTGCTTGATAGTTTTCCGCCAAGGATGGTCAAAATATGGTCGTTGCCCAAGGAAGAGTTTCCAGTGACTACGAAGCTAGGACAAAGGTTCCAAGAAGAAGTGAAGAAGCGCAAGCATATCCATGCCGAGATGATGCTCATGGCTTACCTTGTCGGCTGTAGGGGTCTCAGCTCGGAAGTTTTCCCATATCTTGGGGTAAGCAAGAAGACGTGCCTTCTTTGTGGGCACATGCTCCGGGAAGTGAACTTCTTCGAAACCCGAGGAAACCATGGGAAGTGCTATTCGCAATGGACATTTCCCCACACGCTACAAACGAATCCTGAGGCCGCAGAGAAACTACAGTCGGCTATTCAGCGCTTACGAGACATTCTTCGTGGTGAGGTGATAGAACGCGACGTACCTTACCGTGATGCAGAGAAGGAGTCGGCGATGGCTGTTCCTATTTCGCCTACGTATGAGAGAACAGTGACGCTTTTCAATAGCGTGATTGAAGACCCTAGACTTCTTTCAAGAGAGAGCGAGTGGCTAAGCATGCCTCAAAAACGCGCTAGGGAAGCCAAGTAAGTCGTCTTTGTTTTTCGATGTGCCCTTTCTTGCTTTCGAGGCTAACATGGACTATTATGACTCTTAGTAACGGCAACAGATCAGTTGAGCCTTTCCATGAACAGGATAGCGACAGTACATCAGAATGCGACATCGAGAAAGCTGAAACTACAAGTCCAAAATTCTGCGCTTTCTGTAAGGTCACCTCCAAGCCTACTTTTGTTTGTAACAAGTGTGGAGGTGCCGCCCATTGTTCCATCGATTGCTACCGTTCCGATTGGCATCAACACAAGTTTTCCTGCAGGTTGGGAAGACCAGTTGACGCCACGGATGATTTGGTGCTCGCTTGTCATACAAACAAATTCCCCTCTGATGACGACGTTTTGCACAAGTATGGTTTTATGTCTTTTACATCTGGGTATGATCGGTGCAGGCTCTTCAATCTTTACCGCCGGCTTGTAGTCCACTGGGAAATTGACGAGGACGAGCTGCGTAGTGCGGTAAACAATAATAAGCTCAAAGAGATGCTTATATGTCGATGTTCGCAAACCAAGGATCCTGACTTGCAGTGGCTTAAGAATGTGGAGAGTTTTGAGGCTAAAGCCAAGGAGGGGGAACTGTCCACTCTCATTGAAGCTGCTAAGAGAAAGCTATTAAGTCCTGACGAAAACAAGGTACCAATCACCGAACTTCAGCCTCTGGAAAAGCAACGAGCGCTTGTCTTCTATGCACAGATCCAAAATGGATTCATGATAGATGTGGATGAAGACAACTGGATCTCATTGGGCTTTTGCACGCGCACCAACTGCAACTCAGAACAGCAACTTGCTTGGGCATACAAATTGCTTATCGCGCGTTGCTCACTCGATGAGTTCTGGACCGCTATGGCGGAGTCCAAGATGGCGGAATTATTCTCAAAATATACACTCACCGGTCAGATCTCACAAATGCGCAATTTCAAGGACCTCAAGGATATTGTAAAGAAGCGACATCAGAGCGTGTGGGAGCTGAAACGATTTACACGCATGAACGCAGCAGATCCGCACCGAGCCGTTGTAAACGACTACGGATTCATGAACTGCGAGGATGCACGCCAACGCATGCAGCTTCGAGATATATACCAGAAATACTTTGAAAGAGGCGAGAATGAGATGAAGCTTCATGAGGCATGCATTTCTGGAACTCTAGGTAGCTTCCTCGAGTCGGTCTTGGGGAACCTTAGAGTGGGCAGAGACCTTTTTCGCAATCCTTATCCCTTGCAAAACTCCACCCTGATGGGAATGGTGACTGATGTCGTTTTAGTGTGTACACAGTCTATGTTGGACCAGGTGAAAGCCTTCAAGGAGGATGGTCAGGAGTTATTTGTCATTCCGGATACTATGGAAGACGAGATGATGAGACACGTGCACGAGCGTGCTGCATTTTTAGGTACAGGTGTGAGAAAGCGGTATCGGTCTGGACTACATGGCAAAATTTGCGAGGAATTGTCATTCTAGTCAGGAAGTCTGTTTTCGCCAGAACTTTTATCGCATCTCTCGATTCTGATGGGAGAGGAGGATTCTGATTTAGTCGTATCCATGAAGCGATAATACTGGAACTTTATGTCTAGAGAGACTCTGGAAGGTTGTTTCCAGTAAACCTAGCCTGTCTTGGAGAGTTACTGCCATCTCCAAAGTCCACTGTTAGATTTACTACAAATAACCACGATGTTCCAACGTCTTCCTCGCATTTTGTTTTTGAACCATCACAGATTAGATATTTGAGTTTGATAATGAAACGAGGGCTACACAATGCAGTGAAGTACACTACAAATAAGCAAAAACACAATACCTTGGGCCTTGCACACAGTACTTAAGCATCACTCTCACTGTAAAATAGCAGTCATCATACCGCTTACAGTTTTATTCACATGTATATCCAGTGTGTCCCAATAGCCCGAAGTACAGAATCATTTCGCCATCTTGTGTCTCTAGTCCTAAGAATTGACATTACATTCGATAACCCTGCGCCATGACTCCTGCCCTTATTTCATTGCCCATACATATCTATGAACCCCAAGTACATATCATCTACTTCTTCGACGAGCTACCTCCCGGCACGAAAGGCTTAGCCTTTGCATTGAGCCCCTTGGAGGATGCATCCTTGTTGGAAGACTTTGCAGAGTTGAAATTGCTAGAGCCCTGCTTCATGGTGGATTTGGAGCTGCCACTCTTGGAAGACTTTCCAGATGGCACACCCCAGTCCCTGCCATGTCCAATGCCAGAGATGTTGCGCCAGCCGTTGGGGTTCATGTTGTTAGACATTGATGCTGTTGGATGTTGATCCTGGTGGTTTAGATGTTTGTTGGTGTTTAGAGATGTTTCGAGTTGGGTTGTTTTGATGGTGATTTAAGTAGAACGGTGTAAGGCTGGTAGTGTATATATGGGTAGGGGATTGTAGAGTAACCATTCATTGGGGCGTTAATGTCGAAAATGAAAAGGTGGTGGTGAAGGTTATGGAGCCAGTTTAGACACTGTTTGCATGTGAAATCTCCACAGATCAGAATAGTGTACTGGATGGAAGCATTGACTGGGCTCCAACCTGCATATTCACAGGTAGATGGTAATTTGTATCGCAAACACTGGTCAGTGTACTGAGAAGCCGGTTTAAACAACTTCAAGTTACAGAGTCCGATTCAAGCCTATCTTGGCCATACGCATTGTGAGATATTAACCTTATTCAAACTCTTAATGATTGTAGGGTCATCTTTGCCTTATTAGCTTGACCAGAATCTTTTGGGATTGGGCCATCGTAGGTTTACCTGTAAGCACCTCTCAAAGAAGAATGATTTGATCAGAATGAACTACTGGTGTTGTATCTTCCTGATGATCCATAATCATCTATACTCTCTTGATTGATAAGGAGCCTCTAGAACTTGACTTGAATGAGATATCCTTCTGCTACCAGATTAGCTGAAAATCAAAACAAACATACCCACTCTGAATACTCACACACAACTCTCTGTTTTCTCCATGTATTTGAAACTTCCCAGAAGTGCGGGTAGTTTACGAATCTCGGTGGAAAATGATCAGTGATATCTATGTACTAAGACACATAGCTGTGAAACACCGTCATCACGGAATCATTGTTTAATTTCACTTGCATGAATTTTTGATGATATTATATACTGGCCTTGGGTTTTACAGAAGGAAAATTATCCTCCAATTCGTCTGGCAAAGCCTCTTCGCTTTGACACCCTCCCCCCCCTCTCAGCTCAGACGATTAGTAAAGAGCCACTTCAAGTTCTCATTTATAGAAATCCTCGAATGAAACAAACATGGTAGGAAATACGTTAGAGGCAACACACATACAATGGCGGGGTCATTATGTATTAACCTAAGGGCAAGGTAGTTCCTTGGAAACGATCAAGAATAGCATTCTCGAAACATATATTACTAAATCACCCATACCTAGGCTGAAAAATTAGTCATTCAAGTAAACGTTTGTCATCGTAAATCACTCGCTCACAATTCATACCAGGAGAGTGCAACTGATTTTCATGGAGACTACAAGGACGTATCATGAACGGATGTAGAGAACATGATTGGAATTGTTTTCAACACCCGGACCGGATTATTATACGTGCTTTTTAAGTATCTATCACGAATTCCGCATTACCTATTTACAACACCGTGATAACATGCGGGGTATCGCGGGGTGGAATATCTTCCTATTAAGGTTAGACCCCGCGGACTATGCTTATGTAAACATCGAATCTTCGCATGTCGCTTTCAACACTACCACCGCAACCAGCACGAAGATTGCCAACCGCAGCCATGCCTCCACGGCTAAGAGCTGTCCGATTCGTCTCGTCACTCGTCTACTCCCCCGCCCGGTCATGCGCGACGCCGCTCCCCGCCGCCTTTGTGCTCCCCGCCCAGCAAAGATGCGCATCCATTCTGTCGTCGCTATCCGACAACGCCGGCGCCTACAATAAGAAGATTCGTCGTGGACGAGGTCCCGCCTCAGGAAAGGGAAAGACGGCTGGTCGCGGACAAAAGGGACAGCATGCGCACGGAAAAGTGCCGACTGGCTTCGAGGGAGGTCAGACACCACAATGGATCACAAATCCAGAGCGAGGGAGAGGCAAGCGCAATCCCTTCAAGGTGGAAATGTCACCCATCAATCTGGACCGGATACAAAGCTGGATTGACCAGGGAAGGCTGGACCCCAAGAAACCCATTACTATGAAGGAATTGGCCAAGTCGAGATGCTTGCACGGAGTCAAGAGACATGGGGTGAAGCTGTTGGCAAGGGTATGAAGACATTTACAAGCATTCATTCAAGATGCTGACTCAATGACATAGAATGCGGAGCAGCTTACCACGCCCATACACATTGTTGTCTCCAGAGCATCGGCCGAGGCCATTGCGCGCATCGAAGCCCTCGGCGGCAGCGTAACCACACGTTTCTACTCCCCCACAACCATCAAGCGCGTACTACGCGGCGAATCGCACCCGATCATCTCGCTACAGTCCTCGCCAGAACTCGTCTCCCTCGCCAGCCGCTTGCCGACGGTCAAAATACCCTCTCCGATCCTCTCGGCACTGCAGACTGCGGCCGAAGAAAAGAAGAGCGAGGCCATGGCTACCGTCATGAAGCAAGTCGGTACAAAATACAAGTACAGGCTGCCTGATGCGACCGCAAGAAAGGACATTGAATACTACCGCGACCCGGCACACCGGGGTTACCTAAGCTACATGGTCAAGCAAGGCGAGAGCCCAAGTTTGTTCTTCAAGCCGCCTGGCGAGGCAAAGGACAAGAAGAAGCAGAGTGCCAAACGGGATGCCGCCAAGGCCAGTGCCGACAACAGGTTATTCTAATTCTAGCCAAGCAATTGTACCATTTGTATCATATAATGTGCATGTGCATGCATCTGGGGGTGGCGGTCTTGTCGCCATGGGGATGACGGTCAAATGCATCATTACGAGCATAACCAGCCCAAACCCTTGTCTTTCATGAATCTCTCCCTCTCGACCCGCCTGCACAATTACCTCGCAACTTAGCAGTATCCCGACCCCGATATCTGGGTTCCCTGTTCCTGTTTCCCCCCTTCTTCCCGCAGTAGCGCCACGCTGCAGCAGATAGATTACCTGCCCATGACTAAGTGTACCGCAGTCCAAACATCTGAAATACGTCGTGTGCATGTGCTCCACTAATCCCCCCCCCCGACAGCCGCCCCAACAATCTCCTTCTCTCTAATCACCGAAGACCGAAACGGGCCTTGGTAACTTGTTCCAATCTGGAAATAGAAACACGAGGGCGATAATATGTTGCAAAAAAAACTGTCTCTCTCTCTCTCTCTCTCTCTCTCTCTCTCCCCCTTAGTCATGGCGCCCCAAAACCCGGATAAATTCTAATTCCCCAATCGTACGATGGATTACATATGCTGAGGAAAAAAAAGGACACACGAAACGGTCCTATCGAGATACGTTGTGCTACGTACGGCCGAGCTGATACGTAATATATATGTGTATGCGTAGGTATGTATGTATGTATGTTATGAACTTTGTGGGGGGTTATATTTGTTTTAGGTGGGCTTTTCCGAGGAACAGGCTGTGTGGCTGTGTAGGTTACATGGATACATGGTTGCATGGGGCGCAGCGCAGTTTTGAGTAAAAGAATGAGAGAGATTGAGAGATTACTTTTTTTTTGCTTTCTCTTCAGAGAAAACCGCTTACTCTTCCTCGTGTGTGTGTGTGCATGTCCGGACTCGGAATCAGAAGCAGACTCGGGATGATACGCGATCAGGGTGGAGAAAGACGGACGGCCAGCGGGTATAACAATGTGTATATACACACACGTACATGGACAGATGGAGAGATGGAGACGTCACTCCCGGTTTCGAAACTAATACACATACTGCAGGCACCGTTGGTGCAAAACCCAATTCAATTCACGGGACGCAGTATGTAGACATACTAGTATGGACATGGCATCATCCACTGTATGTATGTATGTATGTGGCTTTCTCCTCTCCCCATCCTCCATTCCCCATTCCATACACAACACAGCACAGTATACCACACACAGCGGCTCTCCATCACACACACACACACACACACCACAACACCACCCCTCCGCCTCGCCTTCCTCCCAGCTACCCCCCCCCCCCCCCAAAAAAAAAAGAACCGAATACGAAAAAAAAAACCCCACCCCATCTCTCCTCTCCTCTTCTCCTCTTCACCCTAACATACCTCCCCCAAACCCCCCCCCAACCGAACCGATGATATGAAATGAAACATGTCGCACCAAAGCGTCAGTCCCACGGCCACGGCACCTACTACTAGCCACTCCCCCACTCCCCTAAAAAAAAGAAAATAAGAACCCCCGGCTTTTAACGTAACGTAACGTAGTAAGGAGTAAGTAGTAAGTAAGTAGCAGTAAGTAAGTAACCTTGCAAGTAAGAGAGAGAGAGGAAAGAAAAAAGCCGGACCGCACGGGCACGTGCCCAGAGTGCTATTTTTAAAGCACAGAGGTTAGGGGGGGGGAAATGCGGGAGTGTGAGAAGGAGAAGGAGATTGTGTGTGTGTGTGAGAGAGAGAGAGAAGGGAGAAGGGAGAAAGGAGAAAGGAAGGAAGAAGGAGAAGAAGTGAAGAGTAAGACGCACGTGCACGGGGGGGTACTTGGGGGTCTATAATATTAACGTGCGTGGGTATTGTTATATGTCTCGAGCTTTTTATTTTATTTTATTTTTCCTTTCTCCATCTTACTTATTTTCGCGGTAGGGAGGAGGAGGAGGAGAAGGAGGAGGAGGGGGGGGCTTAGTAAAGTAGTATATGTATGGTTCTGTTAGTGAATTGCTTGTGCGTTGCGTTGGTACTTTGCTTCGTGTTTATGCTTGGTACCTGTGCTGCGTGCTGACGAAGACGGAGATGGAGATGGAGACGGAGATGGAGATGGAGATGGATACACGTGCAGATATACATGGGGATGTGTAGTCATGGTGCTATATTTCCACGGCTTCTTACAACCACGACAACCACGACAACGACGACAACAGGGGGGGGGGGAATTCGGAGATGGGGAAGTATGTATGGAGATGGAAACATGAATTCACGCCTACAGCACACAGATAGCTACACAATGTTAACCGGTACTGTAGATTGACCTCGTATACAAGCTTTGAAAGTCAGTTCCATTGTATCAACACAACCCAAACCCAAGCTAAGTTACGTCAAGTTGAGTTTGTTACTAGCAAGTCTAGTCTGTCTTTAACAAGTTTTACTAGTTTTCTTCTCGGACTTGTCGTGGCGCGCCGAGTTGAGGCAAGTGTAGTAAGTGTAGTGTAGTGTAGTGACCAAACTGCATGGCTGAGTGACCGACCGACTGACGGACTGCATGACTGAATGACATGACATGACTGAACTGCATGTCCATCTTAGCATGTGCATGTAGCAATTGCCCGAGTTCCCTTTTGTCAGCGAAAGATAAAATAAAATAAAGGCATGATTTTTAAGGTTTCCAACGGAACAAGCCCCAGAAAACGAGGATACTAGAAATAACTTTTTTTTGGGGGGGGGGGGGGGCGCTGTTTCGCGCTCAGCCGGGGAAAAGCAGCGCGGCGAGACTTGGGGTTGGTGAGACAGGCGTATGTTTTCTTAGTAAGGCGCGTCGTCGGCTTTCGCAAGTAGGTAAGCCGGAAGTTTAGTAGCTGGTCCCCCCGAGAAAGAAACGGAAAGAGGGGGGAACATGAGAGGGGGGAAAGGCGGGGAGAGAGAGGGAGGGAGAGACAAAGACGCCAAAAAAAGAAAAGAACATGTCAGTCAGACAAAGACAAGCAATAAAGGGTGAAATTCCAAATCCCAAGACCTTCGGGGGCTTTGCCCGCGGGGGAGGGGCGAGGGGGGAGGGGGGTGGGTTTGATAACTTTTTTGCACGTGACAAAAACATACACGCGTGCTGCCTACGGCCTACGGCAAAGTTATTGCGAGGGTTGCGCAGTTGCAGCCTGGGCGGGTAGGCAGGAAATTGTAGAGATGCAGGCTTGAAGTCGGCGAGGACAAAGGGGGACAGACAGGCGGCGGCGGCGACGAGCATGCAGTCAGACTACAATGGGGGCAAAAAGTATGTATACCGTATCGGCAGGCCGATGCGGTAACCTTCCCACGTTGGAAAAGCTGCTGCCATGGGCTGCAAGTATCCGCATCCCAGGTGCTTTGTGAAACACTGTAAGCGAAAGCAAAACAAGCCAGATGCGGACTGGGCTTATTCCGTGAAGCGGAGCCGAAGGTTCCCTTCCCATTGTGGATGCAATTCCATATCGAGGGTCTTGTTCAGCACATGTTACACATCATACGGTTGCAGCCAGGCATCAACAATCCGCACATGGTGGGGCCGGACAGGAAACAAAGTGATAGGCATCAAGAAATGCAAACAAACATTGACGAGCAGAAAAAAAGGAGACGACAAAGAGCAAAGCAAGACGCAAACAAGCACGAGAGCTGACCTACCCAGTTTGTGCGAGCCAAGCCAAAGGAATTTGCACGGCGGTGGCGAGGCTTAGCTGGAGACTATTGCCAGCTGACCAGAGGGGGACGTTTGTACATGAATGATGCACTTGAAAGCGAATGTGGGCCGACTGCGGCATGTGTGTGAGTGTGAGTGTGTGAGTGTGAGTGTGTGAGTGTGTGTGTGGTCCGCCCGTGCTTCCTTGTCATAGCGGACGGGTAGTCAAGGAACTTGACATATTTGTTGGCCGGCGCTCCGCCTACACGAGAGCCGGTGCGACGGTCCTGCGTGTCTTACAGACACATGTCTAGATTCAACGGCTATTGGCGGGTCCCTTGTGCTGCAACCGGGAAACAAGGGAATCAAAGGAGCCTTGCGCCATTTGGCCATGTATGGCGATGGGCTCATGAGGACGTTGCATTGGGTCCAGGTTTTTGTGGACTGGAGTATGAGCGCTTGGCCAAGGTATCCCGGACCATTGGTCGTTGGTGACATGCAGGTGGCAAGCGAGGATGTTTACGTGAGAAGCGCATTCGTCATTTCTGAAGCCCTGGAGAGGTTGGAAGGGTATGTGCTAAATTCATGTGCTGCCGACTCTTCAGGGGCCAACTGCGGCCACACTCTGTGCCGGGTGTGCGCCGTCGTCACGCTTCGAGATATGGGCTTGTATGGGTCATGCAGTGTGGGTCAGAACAAACACGCGCAAAGGCGCATTCCAGGCACAGAGTGGTGTGCAGTGTTTGGCGGGCGTGATGCGCTCTGCCGTTTTGTTGCAAAAGGGTGACATGGTGGCGGCCTGAACACGGGCATCATGAGGCAGCGCCTGATGTCCAGGTGTTTGGCCGTGAGATGATCGTTGGCCATGGGCCAGCGCTAAGCAGCCAGCGAAACGTGGATCATGTGTTGTGTAGCCGGCGAAAGCATATTGCCCATGACAAAGGAAAGCCATTAAACGAGTTAGCATACGATATACTTGGATCGCAAGTTACGTAGTCGTGGCCGTGGTGGTGGTGGTTGGCAAGGTTCTACCGATTTCGGGACCGTTATCGTTGGCGCAAGCAGAAGGAACATGCTGCATGTACTGGGAAGCATGGGGTATTATGAGGTGGGAACTTGGTCACACTCATCGGGGGGGCCGGCTTCGCTAAACGGGCCATGTGGCGTAACGCATACGCCCGATAGTCGTCGTCTTGGTGACAAGCGGTGCGCGCGTGAGTGAATGAGACTGAGCCTGTGTGCGTGCGTGCACCGGACACGCCAGGATCGCTCCGCAGATCGATACACATGCCCTTGTATACATTCATATTCAATCTCCGGTGCAAAGCAAGCATTGGTGCCCCCCCCCCAGACCAAAGGCTTTCATCAAGGGGGGGGAGAAGCAGTGGCCTGACCAGTCAGCATGCCGTGGCACAGTGTCAGACGAAAGGAATGTGTGGTCTTGAGGGCGGGTGGTTGCGTCTTACATACTATAGCTTGATACAATAGCAGCAGAGGCAGCGGCCATGGTGCCGGTCACGGATGCCTTGGGGTTGGGTCGGTGTTGGATACAGGCGTAATTGCTCTGAGCGTGGGGTTCGGCAGTGCTTATTCGTCAGGGGTCGTCTTACCTACTCGTTTGAGCGCGCCCCTCGAGCGGGGATGGGCGTGCGATGGATCGAGAGGGACGCCGTGTGAAGAAACTAACGTCGACCCAGTCGACCTTTGTGTGGCAAAGGTGTACACACGGTGCTGAGTCGGCATGAGGCTTGTCGCTTGCACGAGATTATGCGACCCTCTGCTTTTGCAGTACGGCCGCTAAGGCCCAGGCGTGCAGGCCGGCTTTGCTGGGCCGTAGCGGCGCAGTCTGTTTGACCAAGCCAAGGCGGATTGAATTGGCAAGTGGGGGTTTTTTTTTTTTTTTTTTTTTTTTTTTTTGTCAGGCGAGCGTGACGGGCGTCGTCGTCTTCTGACTGCGTCTTTGTCTTTGGGCGAAACGGCGCTGCACCGCCATGTCTCGCGAGGCGACCAAGGGCGCGGAGGCTCGGGAGGGCTACTGGATGGTGTGGATAGCATATTTTTTTGCTTGTTCGTCGTCGTCTTCTTTTGCGGTGGTGCCGCCGGCGGACTGCGGCGCACGGCGAAAGCGCACTAGACGAGCTACCATGGTGCGGCTCGGCAGAAGGGATTGTTGAAGAGCAGAGGGCGGAGATGCATTGATAATGGATGACATATGGGCATGAGTACGCGTCGTGGGAAGGGCTCGTCCAGGCGCCGCGAAGGGCTTAGGGCGGGTGATAGATACAGGCAGGCAGGCAGGCGGCGCTGCTGATTGACGGGAGGAGGGTCGGGTAATGAGTCGCGCTACTTGGGTCGTATAATGGGAGGGGGAGGAGGAGGGGGAGGGGGGGTGGCAGTGTGGGTGGATGCAGAGAGAAAAAAAAGCTGAGGGCAGGCGGTGCCGAGTGTGGCCCGCATGCTCCGTACTGGCACTGGCACTGGTGGTGGCCGTGGAAGGAGCGCTGGGCCCTGAGCCCTGAGCGCATTTGCAGTCGCGCCTGCTACGCCGGATGAAGCATCGGCTCGCCAGGGCGGGCGAGCAGCAGGCGGCTTGGCAGTGCAGACATGGGATTATGGGGAGACCAGGCATCATGGAGAGACATGGCGGGAGGGAGGGATCACGACGCAGCTGAGCCTTTGCCGTGGATATTACACGCACACGCACGCTGACGGGGCATCCATCGTCGATAGAGAGTACATGGCCGCAATACATGCATCGATACGACACAGCTGGTGGTTTGGACGGGGCCACTGCCACAGCGATTGCGGCACCGACTCGCACCGTCGGATGACGCATGGCGGGCTAGCATGCATGTATAGGCGTGGATTCCGAGCGTGCCGTTTGCCTCGTCACTTGAGCAGCAGCAGCAGCAGCAGCAGCAGCAGCATCGAAGCGAGGCTCAGCAAAGCGTGTGTCTGAGACGTCGAGGCTCCAGCTCTGCTCCAGCGCCTCACACCGACATGGCCCCGATACGTGGTCATGGAACGCCGTATTTCCCACTATCGACTTGATCTTCGGCGGCGCGTCTTGGAGCTAAACAGGCATGTGCAATGCAATTCATGCTGCGGCGGCGGGCGTCCGTGTCATATAGCCACACAGCTGATTACGCGGTGCTGGTGCGGTGCGGCCATCTATTTTTTGCCCGCCATGACGGTGACGGTGACGGTGACGGTGACGGTGACGGTGACGGTGACGGTGACGGTGACGGCGACGGTGGCGGACGGACCGAGGAAAGCGCGCGCGGCACCCCTGCCGTATTTACGCATGACGGTGACGGTGCTTGCCATGCTGCACCCTCCACGGCCAACATGCGCGAGTCTGAGTCTGAGTGCGAGCAAACAGGCTGCCTGGCGGGATGCGGTGCCATGACATGAGCCAGCCGGCCAGCCGCCTCTGCGAACCACGCCCAACGCCTATCCGCCATCCATCCGCCATTACTCATCATCATCATCCATTCTGCTGCAGCGTGTGTTCCTGCTGCTCGTTGCCCAGCAACACACGAGCCCGATGCAGCCGGCCTGCATCCATGTGTCGAGGGTGCAGTCGCATCCATCCATCCATCCATCCAGCCATCCACTCAGTCAGTCCAGTCGTCAGCCGGGGGCAGAATGCAGTAACTGAGGCGCGCGCGCGTGCAAACACGCACACACGCACGCACACAGGCACACGGGCAATATCCAATACGCGTTTCGTCAGGGGCGTTTGGAGTGCAGATTGCCTCAACTTGTCGAGCATGTCCATCCATCGCAGCAGGCCGTCCGTCTGCACCCCGTCTAGCGCCGGAGAGGGGGCGACCATTGGGCGCGCGCGGGTTGCAGCAGGCCCCGCGGCTCCACTTGATTGGAAGCCGAAGCGTCACACCAAGGCGAAAAATCATCTGCAAAAAAGACCACGGCCGATCACCACCAGCACCACCAGCACCACCAGCGCGCCCTCTCGCGCCCTCTCGCGCCCTCGCTCAAACTTCAGCCTGCAAAGCGTCGCCTTGGACAGGGTTCGGGCTCGGATTTAGGGCAGGCTTAGGGTAAAGTAAGACGGCGACTCGCCTAGGCCGCCGCCTGCCTGGGCGGCCTGGCTCGTATCGCTTGCGGCCAGTCGTGGCAGTGGCAGTGGCAGCAGCAGCAGCAGCAGCAGCAGCAGCAGCGGCGGCAGTCGTCGTCGTCGTCGTAGTCGTCGCGGTGGCAGCACGGCACTCGTCGCCGTCGCCGTTCGCCGCCGCCGCCATGGTGCTTTTTTCCCAGTCAAACACGGCATGGCATGGGTCTTGCAGCTTGTGTATGTGTGTGGGTGGGTGGGTGCAGCATCAAAGGCCATGGAGCACCACGACGCTATGCGATAGACTTGGGCGGCTTACGGCAATTTCTGCTGCTGCAAAAGTTACATGTCGAAGCGTGCCGCCGCGTCGCAAGTGCGCCCAGGTTGCTCGGAGCGAGTCCTGCTCCTCATTTGCCTTGCTGGCGAGTGCTTGTCGGTGTGTGGTGTGCTACTATCTATCGATGTGCATGTGTGCGTGTGTGCGTGAGGGCGTGAGGGCGTGCGTGCTCGCTCCGCCGGGGCCGGTGCAGCTGCCCGCCCGCCGTGGATGAGGGCTGAGACTGCAGGGCGCAGGCCTACCATGTTGCGTGCAGCCGTGCAGCCAATCAGCGCCGCCCGGCCACCGGTGCTCTGCCATGATTCTTCACCAGCGGGCGCCGGCCGTGTTCCCATTGTCCGCACGCGTGCACTGTGTGTGTCTGTACTGTATGTATGTGTGTATGTGTGTATGTATGTATGTATGTATGTATGTATGTACGTAGATGTGGGCGTGTGGGCGTATATGCGTATGTGAGTGAGAGTGTGTGTACGGGACTTGGCCGGTAGCGTGAGGGGAGGGGAGGGGTTGGCTGGCTGGCTGGTTGGCTGATTGGTTGGCTGGTTGGTTGGTTGGATCATGGCTGAAAGGTCCTTCGTTCCTTCCACCCCTCCCCTCACTGCCTTCCCATTCCTTCCCCCCCCCTCTCGACGCGCACCATGCATCGCCTGCTCCCCCGCCCCAGCCAATCAGCACCCCAGCCAATCGCCGCCCATGCCACCCGCTGAGGCTGTCTCGCGCGGCGCGGCGCAGCTGGTCCTTTTTTGGGGGCGTCGTCACAGCACTCTAGCCCCCAGGGATTGATTCTTCACGCCAGCCGACCCGCCAGACCCATTCATCCGCCTTTTTTTGTTTAGATTTGCTGTGCGGCGAGACACGAGGGGCCAGGGCTGAGTCTGCGTGCCCACCCCGTAATACACCTAGTAGACAGGCCGGCAGTGAGGGTGAGGGTGAGGGCGAGAGCGAGGGCAGCAGACAGCAGGCAGGCGGGCAGGCCAACTGACTGACTGCCTGACTCTCGGAGCACCACTACTGCTACCATAGTACAGCGTCGCCCACCACACCACACCACACCACACGACGCTGCGCTGCACTACACTAGGCGTGTGTATGCCTATACTACTCTACACTACTCTACACTGCACCTATGTATGTCGATACTAGCCGCGCAGAGTGCCGCGGCCGCTGCCTGTTGCCCGCGTGGCCTCGGCCATGGGGCGCCCCTCTCGTACGTGGTCTTTGTCGCGGGTCGTGGGCGAGGGCGAGGGCGGAAGGCGGCCAGCCAGCCAGCCAGCAGAAAAAAATAAGTGTCATACACGGCATGCGGTCTGCGGTCTGCGGTCTGCCATGACGGGCGGTCGGCAGTGGCAGCACGGTGATGTCAGGCCCCAGGCCCTGGTGCTTGTCCCACTCGTGCTCGCTGCCCGGCCGCCGACCTCGTCCAGCCCAGCCCAGCCAGCCAGCCAGTCCCGGCCAGTGAATAGAGTTGCAGTTGGTTGCACTCCCATACACAGCAAATGTCCAGTGCACTCGCTGCGTACGGTACGGTACAGTCAGTTACAGTAATCCCATCGCCGTATGGCTGCCTGGCTGCCTGCCTGGCTGCCTGCCTGCCTGGCGGGCGACCAACTCGCCTTGTCCTCTCGCCCTCTCTGCACCTCGCTCAACCTCTCACACTCGCCCATTCCCTCCCTCCCTCACTCGCTCGCTCCCTCACTCCCGCCGCACATACGCACGCACACACGCACCACCACCACCACCACACGCATCCGCATCCACTCCCACTCCCACTCCCACTCCACCTCCACCTCCACCTCCACCCACACGCCCGCCCTCGCCCTCGCCTCGCCTCGGACGGCCTTGTCCTGGCCTGGTACCGGGGGGGTCTCGCTGTGCTAATCAGCCCGCGCGGCTTGGCGCCTGCTGGGTGGTGGCTGCCGCTGCTGGGCTCCTGGCCGTCCTCCCAACTCCCCGTCCCAGTCCCAGTCCGGTCGCTCCTGCCCTCGCGGCGTGCCCCCGGTCGCGGTTGCTTTGTGCTCGCGTCCGTGCGCAGCTAGCGCCAGCAGGCGCGGTTGATGTCAGAGCGCGGCTTCTCCTTCTGGGTCCTGGATCAGCCTCTTGGGGCGTTCCTTCTACCCTGCTCGCTCCTGCCTGGAACCTTCCGAGCCCTTCACGACTCCGTGTGTGTGAATTACCTATGTTTTATTCAAATCCAACGGCCCCAAGCCATGTCTGCGCAACCAACGTGCGGGCCCCCGACAATCCGCCTCCCTACCCTCACCCTCTGCCTCACCACCACCATTACCCACCCACTACCAAGCCGCTCCCGGCATAGCAAGCCCCCCTCGGCCAGAGCTCTTGCTGCGCCTGACGTCTCTTTATTGTGTCCGGCCAGCCCTCCTTCGCCTCACCCTACTGCCTCGTCCGCCTCCACCCACTTTTAGTCACAAGCGTCGTTTCCCTGGCCCGGGAACAAGGTTGCCTTCATTGGCCTAGCACAGATACACTGACCACAGGTGGCTGTCGTCAACAATCACCATCTCGCTCCTCTGGCCGCGATTCCCACCACCACTACCACTACCACTACTACTACTACCACCTAATACCCGGCACCTCCCCGTTCACTTCACCCTACGCTACTACTACTACTACTACTACTACTACTCCACTTCACTTCACTTCGCTTCCTTCCTTCTTTGCTGGGACATGCCGTCAAGGTAGACATTGTACGAACAATAGCCTGCCCACACCCACATACACCCACCCGCCCGGACGTCAAGCCGTTTCCATGACCGCCCGTTCACGTTAACGTCGTCGTCTTTGCACCACCTCGTCTTGCCCTCTCCAAATCATCATCCACCGACCGTCCGTATGCTCGAGCTACAGCTCCCTCGTCCAATGCCTCACGCCATCCCGCGGGAGCATCCCTTCACCTTCTACGCTCCTGCCCCCCACAGCGCCTCCAAGCTGGACGCCGCCATGCAGCTGCCGTATCCGAGGATGGCCAACGGCTACGAACACGATCCACTTCGCACAGCGTCAAGAGCTCCTCTCACACCCCCAGACCTTCCTGGCTCCGCCGTAAGGGTAGTCTCGCTGCCACCCAACCAGGGCTCAGGGCACCAGTACGGCTACCAACTGCCTGCAATCGGCAACTCACGATCAGTAGCACCACCAAGGAGCCCCAGCCCCCAGCGCCCCCAATCGCAACAAGCTCAAGACATGGCACAGACACCAAAGAAGAAGTGGTCAATATCACCCAATCTGAGGATACCGCCGACCATCAACACCCCACAAGAAGGCCTTCCCCAACTGGCAGCAGAGGTGAGTAGTAGAGCCTCTTTTTCAACATAGCGTTGCCTCTAACTTTGCAGGTGACATGTCTCTTCTGGTTCGAGAGCTCGGCAACCCTCAAACAGGTCGTCGACACCACATCGCCTGCCCAGCCCATGCAGCCCCTCGTCCCCGACGCACATCCCACGACCGGCTTTAGGAAATGGGTGGCCACCATCCTGACGACAACCCAGGTGGCACAAAATGTCATTCTTCTGGCTCTTTTATTCATCTACAGGCTGAAGCAGACCAACCCCACAGTCAAGGGAAAGCCAGGTAGCGAGTACCGTCTTCTAACCGTAGCACTCATGCTTGGCAACAAGTTTCTCGACGACAACACATATACCAACAAGACATGGGCAGAGGTATCGGGCATCTCGGTACAAGAAGTGCACATTATGGAGGTTGAATTTCTCAGCAACATGCGATATAGCCTCTTCACCTCCAAGGAGAAGTGGACCGAGTGGCACGCCATTTTGGGCAAGTTTGGCACCTTCTTTGACCGAGCCTCGAAGATTCCAGCAGCCGGTCCAGTCAGCCCAGTCGGGCCCCAGAACGCACTTGGCCTTCCCTCCAATGTTGTTCCATCGCCACCGACGCAGCAACAAGCATCTCCACCCACCTCGATGATGTACTCTCCGAACCACATGGCACTCTCCAAAACCCCGCTGCTGCAACCACAGGCCACCTCCGCTACCGTTTCCCCGATTGGTGCCCTTCCAGAACTAGGTCCCATTCAACGCAAGCGCAGTGCTGATTACACAGTTGAGCCACCAATGAAGCGACAGGCTCACGGATTTGCCCCGGGTCCCTACAGCAATGCGCCTCCGATTCCCACACTGCAGACGCCCATTAATAGGTCATTCGAGCCACCGCCATCCGTAAACCGCCTACCCCCTCTGCCCAGCCTTTCGATTCCTGCACCCCAGCAGGCGCCGCCTGCCCAGGTGAAGACGTGGTCGGAGCTTCCACTGCCCATTCCTGGAGCCCGGTCCATGACCATGGTTTACCCGCCGCCGGTCCAATGGCAACAGCCCAGCAGCACCCCCACGTCTTCGGCACCGCCTTCTTTTCCTCACACTTACACGCCAACTGCCGACCAGTCACGCCAGATGAGTCCCTACCCACCTTCTGCCGGCTCTTCGCCTGTGAGTACGTCGTTTGGACCAACAAGCTCTCGCCAGCTGTCGCCGTCGCATTTCCTCAATCAGCGCCAGTCTCCTTACCGGCCGGTCCGTGGTGTGCAAACTCTGCTAGTTCCACCACCCCAAGCGTCGATCCACAACCCAGCGCGTAATATTGCATACGATCAAATGCAGTACCAGCCCTTGGGACGACCCATGACCGACCGTCGCTCGGGTCTCCTGCCGTACATGGACCGCAGTGCTTGGCCTGAGACAAACCAGTTTAACCAACTTCCTGTCCCCCAGCAACCAATCTTCCGGTGAAAGGGCGGTCTATCATCTTCTCATGTATTATCTTGTTGAATGGCCTCTAACCCGGCCATGTCTGCTTTACTCTTAGTCCACTGGACATGTATCTGTTGCGTTCGAGCGTGCATTGTACCGGGTTTTGCTCCATGGGCAATTCTCTGGTCCCCTGATCTGGTGTTGGTCTTTTCCTTGTCCTGTTACATTATAGCATTCGCAGGCGCTATTGTTTGCATTCTACCAAGCCTGTTTAACCAGGTGGTGATACACGAAGAGCTTTCATATGATGAGCGTTTTCACGGCCCGCAATATACTTGGGCTATATCATGAACATTGGGGAAAGGGCGGATTTTTGACCACTATTGAGAGCAATGATACATTGTCTCGGATCAGGCAATGAAAAATTCGGTTTACTCTGTCAAAATTGTGTGTTTATCATTGTGATGTTGAGATTGATGAACTTGATGTATGACGGAGAAATTGTACACGTATGCGTTACGAGTATTATCGGGTACATGATTTGATTAAATCACGACATGATTTTTCTGCCCATGTGCGACCATGTAAAGCAAATAAATTGGTTACAATTGCACTCTTCCTTACTGGACTGATGAGAGGATTGTTTCACAGCATGTTACCTTCTTCTTCCATCATTGCATCCAATCTACCATGAAATTGTCGTACCTTTTCTTTGGTCCCGGGTTAACTATCCTGTTGTATCCCACTATCGTGTGTCCTATGTAGTGTAATTGATATATACCCGTCTGTGTGTGTTACACATATATGATGGATGTATGCACTCGAACTTCTTTGCTCTTTCCATCTGTTTCTGCTTTTCTGGTTTTCGGGTGTTGAGTTTTGACAGAGAATTAATTTGTTGATTTACATGGCGGGTGGGATGGTGAGTTGAATAAATTAGAAAATGGAATGGAATGAAATTAAACAAAATGTGAGAAAATAACACATAGTAAAATAGAGATATGCTGGTATTTTTACGCGTGTGATAGAAGGGTATGGGCATGAAAGTGAAAAGTGTTATTGGAGAAGAGAGGCGTGGAATATGGATGCTCAGAATTCGTGTGAGGTGAGGCTCAGCCTTACGCACGCCAAGCCACTTGCAAGCCGCGACAGCGCGTTCGCGACTCAACTTTCGCATTCCCTCCCTCTGTCGCGCCACACCCACAACCCCAACCATGCCGCCACCAAAGCCCAAGAAGCTCACCGCGCAGCCTGTGCGCACGCGCCAATTCGCCGGAAAGCCTGCAGTCGCCGAACCCGAGGAGCAGTCGAGTTCAGAGTCGGAACCAGACGACGAGCAGCAGCCACAGCCCAAACCTTTTGCGAAGCCAAAACCCGCGCCGATTGCGTCGTCGTTTCCCAAATCAGCACTCAAGTCGAGGATTGCGTCAAGGCAGAAGGATGAGGCTGCGCGCAAGGCATTAGAAGATGAGTTTGAGACTGAGAGTGAGGAGGAAGGCAAGGATGGCAGTGGAAGTGGGAGTGGGAGTGAGAGTGGCAGCGAAGAGGAGGAGGACTCGTCAGAAGAAGAAGAGTCGAGTAGCGAAGAGGAAGCACCAAAGAAGTTATTACGACCAGTTTTCATGAAGAAGAGCGAGCGGACAAAGGTCGCGGCACCCGTCAAATCCGCAGACGAGATTGCAGCAGAGGAGGAGACACAGCGACAAGAGCAGGCCCGAGCACTCGTACAGGAACAGGTCGAGCAGCGCATAGCAGAAAAAGCAGCCGGCAAAAAGGACTGGGACGACGACGTCGAAGACGCCGATATCAACGCCATTGACGACACCGACGGCCTCGATCCTGAAGCCGAATACGCGGCGTGGAAACTGCGCGAGCTCAAGCGCATCAAGCGCGAGCGCCTCGCCATCGAGGAAGCCGAAGCCGAACGCGCGGAAATCGAGCGCCGCCGCAACCTGTCTGCCGCCGAGCGCGAGGCCGAAGACCGCGCCTTTATCGAAAAACAGCAGGAGGAAAAGGGCGAGCGCGGCCAAATGCAGTACATGCAAAAGTACTTCCACAAGGGCGCCTTCTTCACCGACGAGCTGAAGGAACTCGGCGTCGACCGGCGCAATCTCATGAACGCGCGCTTTGAAGACCAGACCAATAGAGAGGTACTGCCAGAGTACATGCAGATTAGAGATATGACCAAGCTGGGCAAGAAGGGGCGCACGCGCTACAGGGACATGAAGAGCGAGGACACTGGCAAATGGGGTGACTATGGCGACGATCGCCCGCGGCGCAGCAAAGCCGATTTCGGCGTCGACGAGCGATTCAGACCAGATGCGTATGGCGGAAGAGACAGAGACAGCAGAGAAGGAGCCACGGGCGCAAATGCAAAGCCACTGGGTGAGCGAAAGAGATTCGGCGACAGCGACAGCCGCGAACGCGATGGCAAGCGGCCCAAGATGGAGGAACATGAGCGGGCATGAAGGAGGCGCGTTGACGTCTCTCCAAAAAGAAGAATTTCTATTCAGGCGGTACAGTACACACAAATCAAGTTTTCATTATACCCCCCGCCGTCGGAAAAAAAAAGAAGCGGTCGGCTCAGCCCCTACTTACTAGTCAACACGGACTCTCTCGTACTTTGCGCGTCCCTTGTCCTCTTGCTCGGCCATGGTGCTCGCATCCTCCCTGCCCTTTTCCATATCCAGGCGCCACAGCAAGGGCGCAGGCAGCATGACCAGGACGGCCAGGAAGATGAAGGCAGGGCGGATTGTGCCGGCTTGGTCGACGATCCAGCCCACGAGCGCAGGCCCAAACGCGCTGCTTCCTTTATCTGTCACTGCGTACAGCGCAAAGAAGGCGGCCTCGCTGCCTTCGGGGATCAACGGAGCATAGACGGACCGCGCATACGACGAGATGCCGCCCATGACGATGCCGTGCAAGACGCCAATGGGGTAAATCTCCCACGCCTGCTGCAGTCCGAGGAAGCTCAGGCTCTGGACCAGCGGAATGTAGCCCAGCAGGCCGTATATGGGTATGATTTCCATGCCAGCCACGCAGCAGAGCAGCACTGTTTTGGGCTGCAGCGAGTAGCGGCGCTGGACGCATGGCCAGGCAAAGGCGCCCACGATGCCAGATCCAATTGAGGTGATGGAGAGCAGCGCAATGGCAATGGTGCCCATGTGGAGTTCAGTGCGGGCAAAGAGCACAGCCGTGCCTGAGATAGTGGCCACGGCGTCGGAAAGCAGAAACCATGAGATGAGGAACATGAAGGTTTGGCGCAGACGAAGCGCTTTTCGGAGCGTCTTCCAGAAACTGCCGAGGGAAAACGACGTGTAGAAGAGGAATGTGCGCAGCCGCGAGGGAGACTTGCTGCCGCGTTGTTGTTGTGTGGGCAATGGCGGGCCTGGGCGTGGCCGCAGCCAGAGCAGCGTCGGGATGGAGAAGACGGCCCACCAGACGCCTACCATGAAGAGGATGACACGCATGGAGAGAGTCGGAGAGCTCTTTGCGAGCGACGTCTTGCTGAAGGCGAAGATGATGAGTATACTGAATACCTGGACCAAGACGGCGGCAATGTAGCCGTAGCCCACGCCTTTTGAACTGATTTGCGCCGAGCGCTCGAGGTCGCGCGCCAGCCTCTCGGGACTTACTCGATGCACGGCAGACGAAGCATTAGCTGGGTTCAAGCTTTCGAGCTCGACGTCGGAATCGCCATCGTCGGCTGCCCATGGTTTTCTCGCCGCGCTGCCGTCTGGGTGGTTGGCGACGAGCAGCGGCAAGAAGGCGTTTAACAAGACAAAGGAGCAGCCTAGACTGGCGACGCCGACGATGACCAGAATCGGAGCGAGATAGTATAGCGACGGGGAGATGAAGATGAAGAGACAGCTTGCGAGCGAGCCCGCGTACGATGTCACCATCAGCATCTTTTTGCGGTACGGACCTGGAAAGCTCGTCGTCAGTTTCTAATATCTCTCGCACAAAGCACCTTACGGGACGGGTGGCAAGTACCATGGTCAGCAAACGAGCTGAAGCATATCAAGACGACTGCTTGCAGCAGCACAGCCGTGGAAAACGTATACATGGCAAAACTGCTGGTTGACATTTCCCTCCCCAGATACTTGACCATGCATTGCTCCGACGCACCACCACCACCACCACCACCAGGTTTCTGCCCGTTTTCCGCTCGAAGACGTGCGGGAACATGTTCGACACAGGGTTTGTTGCGGTCTGAGAAGAAGACTCCGTTTTCTCGCGCAAGCTGCTCCAAGACTACAGGTAGAAAGGCACCTGTATACACACAAAAAAACACACACAGATACAATCAGTTACATGTGTTCTGCGCCAGTTGCCACGTGACGGAATTGCGGGTTGGGGACATGGGATGGTTTTACTTACCCACTGCTACCACGGCGAAAACCTGCAATCATGTGAGCTTACAAATACATACATACATACATACATAGACCATGGCGTAACAACCACAACAACCTCAACAACAGCGATTCCCCCCGCCCCCCCCCCCAAAAAAAAGATCCCGCCAACAAAAAAACCCCTTACCTCTGCTGCAATGGGATACGCATACCAGCCTTTCAATTCGCGGTTCGTAGTCGGACTCGTGTCTTCGCCGTCGTAGCGCTCGATGGCTGCAAGTCCACTTGCCGCCACATCATCGGCGTCGCTGTCGTTGTTGTCGGAAAAAGACATGTTGTCGTGCGGTTTTGTTGTGTACGACGACGGGGCGGCTGCCAACAGGACTACATTGGCCGCAGCTGCGCGAATCACAGAGGACAAAGGCGAAAAACGGCGATCCGAGCGCTTCCGAGCGTGTGCTGGATGAGCGGGAGAGTAAGAGAGTGTAAGAGAGAGAGAGATGTCGGCTGTATGGCTGGGCAAATGAATGGGCTTTGTTGTTTGGCGGGCAACGGGACGAAGAGGCTAAAAGAGGAAAAGGTGGGGCCGTCTTACGTCGTTTTGCGTTT